TAAAATAGAAATAAAAATATAATAATAATAATAAAAAAACGTGCAAAAAATATATAAATAGCAAAATATAAACTTGAACTCATTACGTAATGTCTTTGATCAATGAACGTGCGTTTCCGTTCGTAGAAAAATAAAACAACGGGGGACAGCCATTATCTTTATGTGGATTGCGTGCGGTTACTCGTTCTCCTTTTTCTAAATATCATTCATGAAGCTAATACCTTAACAAAAAGTCCAACATTTGATCCAATATTTAGTCAAAATCGTTACCAGAATGTTATGACACATTGTTGGCTAAATATCATTTGTAAACCACGTCAAACAGGCGAACATTGTTTGAAAAAAATTGATAGGATTTTGGGAAAATGTTTGTTCAAAATCAACTTTGGCTCAACATTCGTCGATCATTAATATTCCCCTTCATACACTTTTGGTAGACTATGACAAACCGGTTGCAACATAGGACCACTTAACAGATATTACCTTCATAAAATTGTAGATCACATATTGGGCTCTTTTGTCATGACTTTTGATTTCAAACCTCAACGATGCACGCTTGTTAAACGTTATAATCCTCATGTTTTGATCATGGTCAAACATAATATTTTAATTAATGCAAAATGTACTATCAAACGGTTCTTTTCCTTTTATATTTTTTTATCAGATGGATCATAATCGTAATTGCAAATTATTCATAATTTATCATTCCATTCAGTTCATTATATACTATCATTTCCACACAAGCTTCTGCGGTATGGTATTCTGGTATTCCTGAGTCCATTTTCCTCCAAAGTCTTTAAATTGATCTTAAAAAGAGCCTTGTATATAAAGATTCTGACTAAGCTCGAATGATCGATGAGGTGAATCAATTCTTCTTATGCACGAGCATCTTCCAAAATTTAATTCGGCTGAAACTTCAATGAAGTAATCTTTAAAAATTCTTTGTAAATAACTTCATGTTTTACTTTATTTCTATTAAGCCCAAAGGTCCACTGACTTAACGCACATTCATTGTGGTTAGAATCATTTTATGGTATCTTTTCTTAAATACTAAGTATAAAACTAGTAGATATTTTGTATGGAGCAATGTTTAGTGTTGAGTGTATGACGTCACCAAGTCCTATAAAAATTTCGCAAAAATATTTACGTGCTAGTCCGCCCCCTTTAAAGACGTTCAATGCAAAATTTTAAATACCCTATATTTAAATCGTGACTCGGGACATCACTGGTTTTTCCTCTTGTTCCTTTTGTTGCTTCATCCCATAATAGTAGATCGCTTGTTCGCTGATTGCCTGGAGACAAAAATTCTTTATTTTCACAATCATTCCACATTTTTTACCGGAATCTAATAAGTGCCATATAATCTTAGGGGACGACGATATTTCAATCAATTTTATTATCCTAGTTTACAAACTGTCATTATATAAAGGAAAAGGAAAGGTCCCCTCTCTTACTTTATTTCWATACTTATTTAAACATGAATAT